AGGTGGAGCTGTGCTTAAAGCAATGCTGAGTATGGCAGGATAAATATTCCTTCCTCATGATAGTATGTTTGTTCACATTGGGCAGGTTTAAGATCCATGAGTGGGTGGTTGGCGGGTGCTTTGGTGTGGTTTGCTCCTTCTTTCCTATCAAACATCTATCATCTTTATCTCCCCTCCTTTTTTGTGTTTGTTACTCTCTTGTAACACCTCTAATCTTTGGCACATATATGACCTTATTGTGTTGCAAGTGCCGTAAAACTCAAACTAAAACAAAACTAAGATCCATGCCATGGCTTTTTTTCTTACATTTTTTGTCACCAGTATTTCATGATTTCGCCGTCAGTTCGTTTATTTTCTCAATTTGTCCCTCACACCCTCTGCTGTCAGTGGTTTTGGAACCAGGAGATGATTTATTTTTCATAACAGTTCTAGATCTACAGTAAGCCGACAAACGCCTTTTTTCATTTTGACACCAACATTTGTTTATTTGCTAAATGGAAAGCCTGCTCAGAACCCACTTGTGTGAAACAATCAAATTGAAACTGTGACGTTTTTGAATAAAATTAGATTTCAAATTTTGGAATTACTTTTAAAAGATTAGGATGAGGAAAAATCTTTTTGGCGAAGAAACGTGGCTTGTCCACTTACAGCGGAGTTGTAAAACATCTAGAGCAATTGCTGAACATTTTTGTTGGAAGTCTTAATGTCATTGTCTCCAAGAGAGTTTATTCTCTTATTGTCCTAAAGTTTGACGCTAAGTGTTTTTGCTTGGCCTTAAGCCCTGCTATGTGTGAGGCAGTGTGGGGAAGTCAGGCGCTCGTCAAAATACAGGTATCGGAGAAACAGGCATTTTTCCGCTGGTTTGGACATTTTTATCGAATTTTTATTTTTGGGTTCTACATTTTTTATGTCCATATAAAAACACATTTCCATATGAATTTTACTGAAAAAAATTGATTAAAGGCTCAAAATATGTCATTTTTCTTTTTTCAAGGACTCTAGCTATTGGAGTTACCAAACTTTGGCTGCTGTTTTCTCGCTTTTTCACCCCTGAAACCAGGCGACCTCACTTGCTTCAATCGCAAATATCTTGAGTTCTATTCAAGACAGATGAATATTTATTTAATTGGAAGCAAAGCAAATAAATCAACTTTCAGTTGCCACCACACACTCCACATGGCCAAAAACTGACGAGCGCCTGATTCCCTCGCGTCGTGACACATTTGCTTTATGACGTTTTTGTCTCCTTTCTAATTGCAGAAGCTGAGGTCAAGGGTGAATTTGACGGAAAGTTCTGTCCTGTCTCTGACGGGAATGGGCCCGGATACCTCGAGAGAGGACATCGAAGGTGTTTTTTCACCGTTTGCCAAAGTTGCTTATGTGGAGTTTCAGCGAGGAGACTCAGAGGTGAGGAGTCCAAAGTGTTTGACGATGAACGACTTTGATTCCCTGTGGCTGTTTTCTGTAGAGTTTTATGTGGGTGGTTGGCAGGTTCTCTTGTGAGGCTTGCTCCTTTTTCTGATCAAACATCTGTCGTCCTTATCTCTCCTCCTTTTTTTGTTTGTTACTCTCTTGTGACACCTCTAATCTTGGGCACTTATACGACCTTATTGCGTCGCCAGTGCCGTAAAACTCTTCTTAAAACTAAATTAAATTGTCTACCAAATCTTCAGTGACCCAATTGAGGTATTCTAAGAATTGACCTGTGTGTGTTTCAAGCCCCTTTTTTTTCTGTAAATATGGTGGAGTCTGCGAAAACCAAACATGGTTGATCCGTGAACAGCGGTGAACCAAACATGGTTGATCCGTGAACAGCGGTGAACCAAACATGGTTGATCCGTGAACAGCGGTGAACCAAACATGGTTGATCCGTGAACAGCGGTGAACCAAAAGAAATGAAACTCCCTGATTTTGTACTATCTTTTATTTCAGCATCTTCTCTGTGCCAGAGACTCGGCTAAAACAAAACAAAAAAACTGTCAGTCCAGCAGATTTGGGTTTAAGAAGACTCCACTGTATCTGTTAGGTATTGTAGCCTCCACTAATGTCTGTGTTGTGTATGTATGTGGGTGGTTGGTGGGTGTTCTGATGTGATTTGCTTGTTGTATCCTATCAAACATCTATCATCTTTATCTCCCCTCCTTTTTTGTGTTTGTTACTCTCTTGAAACACCTCTATTCTTCGGCACTTATATGACCTTATTGTGTTGCAAGTGCCGTAAAACTCTTACTAAACTAACACCTTTGACGTTCTGGAGTGTACAACCACGAAAGCGGAATAGAGAATCAATCTATACATCTGTTATATATTTGGCAACTTGGAAACACATGTGTCACTTTTCTCTCAAGATTTATTGCTCCATTCCAGTAGAGTGTAAATATAGTAGGCCAATGACTTTCAGTGGATGTTAATGCACCGATCATTCCTTTCATCGAAAGGAACCCAGCTAATTTACAATATTGTTGATGCATTTTCCCCAGGGCTATCTGAGGCTCAAGGAAGCCCACGCTGCCCGCCCTACCATGGAGAAAGCCAAGGCCTCCAATGACGGGAAGGTGGTCATTCACGGCCGGGAGATTGAGATGAGGGTGTTGGAAGGTGAGTGCTAGGGTCTGACCTTTGCCGGGAGATTGAGATGAGGGTGTTGGAAGGTGAGTGCTAGGGTCTGACCTTTGCTGGGAGGTTGAGATGAGGGTGTTGGAAGGTGAGTGCTAGGATCTGACCTT